ACTTCCTCTGGTCTTCCCGCAAAGTCGGGCTCTGACGCCCCCCTGGCCCGAGCCTTGCCCACAACGTCTCAGGCCAAGGGCCCATCGCTGCCTCGCAAAGCCAAGCCACGTGCCAGGCGCCTTGCCCCTGCCCTACTGCCTTAGCCTAGGCCCCAGCCCCTTTCGGTTGCCCGCCCTAACCCGCTCCGGCCAGGTCTATTGGTCTTCTTCGTCGTCAGTGGAAGCCTCTGAGCAGCTACTGAGAGCCCCGCAGTCTTTTTCACCCCGCCTTCGTGCCTCGCGAAGTCTGCCTAGTTGCCTTGGACGTGCAAGCCTTTGCTCACCAAGCCTCCTCGCCTTCGGAGTCTTGTTTCGCCTTTCTTGCTTGTAACACACAAGTGCCACTAGCCAGTAAAGCCCAACCCTTGACCTCTACTCAGCCAGCCTCCAGTCCCCCTCGCAAAGTCCGAGGGGACGTGTGGTTTTGCACAAAACCTTTAGCCATCGTTCTACATGAACTTGGTAGTTGCCTAACGTTGCCTATACGACTTCTCACAAAGTCTGGTCTGGGGGTTACTTTGCCTACGGCCCGGCTCGGGTCTAGGCCCCCCGGGCCAGCCTCGAGCCGACTTCAGAAGCAACACGTCAAAAAAGGAAGGCTGTTAGTGTTCAGTGGTAGAGCAGTGCAAGCACAAGAGAACATAGCCGTTACCAACCTATATGCCGGCAGAAAAGGCGTCGCCTGCGCCTCTTGCATACCATCCAAAATCGAGGGTATTCCCAGTTCCAGCCTAGAACTTGGCCTGGTTCTCTGTAGAACCCAGGTAGCGGCCTTCATAACCTACGATTTCTCACAAAGTCTAGATGGGGGGTGACTTTTTAGCCTAGGGCCCAGCCTCGGGGCCTAGGCCCCTCCTTCTAGCCCCAAGCCTAACCAGAAGCAACACGTCAAAAAGTGTGCATCGAAGGGCTTAAGTGCTAGAGCAGTGCGACCTAGCTCCGCGACGCGCGGACGCCGTTTTCGCTTTCCTCGACGATGTTTAAATGGCCTTACCAGAACACATCTGCGAACTCTACGACCTGTTCGGAGCAACGCCCTGGAACCGTGCACGAATGTGCGCGAAGTCGCTTGCACGAGGGCAAAACGCGTGTTTGGAATGCCGCTGGCGAAAAGCCGCCGAACATCATGGACCCCACCGCTGGTAGCAGTGAGCCAGTTTGGGTCGGCAACTGGTGCCTCCCTCCTGACAGTCAGAGACTCAGCGGTTCTTCCCTTGTGGTCATAAAAATTTTGTCGCGCGCTAACTCCAGCGGAAGCGCGCTGACCAGGACCGGCTCGTGGGCCGCATCCCTACACTTGATGATCTGCAAGCCGCCTGGCTGTTCCTCCAGAGCTGCGCAGCACCGCGCGCTAACTACTTGCTGCGCATCTTGCCGCCGCACATCACAGCTGACTATGCTGCTGCGTATGATGCCTCCGTCGCCCGCTGTTTAGCGGCGCTGCTCGAGCAAGGCGAGACGCTCCTGCCGCCCACAGGCGTGCGTGCCGCCCACCTGGCCCGACGCTTTGGGCTCGGGCTCCGCTCCACAGTAGCAGACAGCAATGCCGCGCACTGGGCCTCGTGGCAGGACACGCTGCGCGTTATCCGGACGCGAGCGCCTGCAGCCGCAGAACGACTCCTTCAAGCCTTGCAAGGCGACGCTGCTCTCCCCTGTACTGCCGCCGCAGTCGCGGCGCGAGGGCGATTGCGCGAGGCCGGCTACGGCCCCCGGTTGGGATGCCCAAGGCGCTAGCCCGCTGGCGCCCGACTTGCAGCGACCTGGTGAGGACTCCGGCCCGTGGCCGTTCAAAGGCTGGCAGCGACCCGCAGCCGAGCCTGCGTTCGTGCGCGCGTTCGAGACGCACCTTTCTGAACAAAAAAAATTCTTCCACGTCTCGTGCGTTGCTGCTCACGCAAACAGGCCCTTTCGCCGCCCGAGCTATCAATGTCCCACCCACCCACCCAGCCGTCACGATCCCCAGCGCCAACTTCCGCGTGCTCCTACTGCGGCGCTTGCGCATGCCCCTGCCGCTCGCGCCGCGCAGATGCGCGTGCCATGGGCAGCTTACCCCTCTGAACGATCATCGTGCGGCCTGCTCCACCTCCGGGGTACTGTCGACGCGTCTGCCGTGAAGCCGGTGCACGGGTCGCCGGCAACGTCCGGTTGGCTAACATGAACCTCGATGTGCCAGTCGCCGACGCCTGGCGCATTGAGGTCCTCGCCAACGGCCTGCCGCTGCGGCATGGGTCTCAGTTAGCCGTTGATGCCACAATTGTTTCTCGCCTCACGCGGCAGGGCCAGGCCCACCCCCGCGCTGATGTGCAGCCCGGCAACGCAGTCAATGCGGCTGCCCGGCGCAAGCGCAACGACACTTATCCGGAGCTCGAGTCGCCGCGCACCGCGCTTTCGCTGCCTCCTTGCTGCCTCCCGCCGCTGACCTTAGTGACGGGCCCGGGCCAGAGCTGCACAAACTCTTCGCGGAGGCGCCCTAGCACTCCCCTGCCCCCCTCACCCCCGGTAGTGCGCAGGTTCGATTGCCCTGGGACCTTTTCTGCCTCGCGGACGCACAGAGGCGTGTGGAAAAATGAGGGAAGGAAATAATCATTGTACAAAGATGATCTGCTCGTCAAGCCGCCCTGCGCTCCCCTGACAAGCTTGTAGCGTCTGGGAGCCAACGCTTTCGCGCCAGTCACAGACCGAGTCCCAGGCATTGCTTGGCTTGATTCCATTGCCTCCCCAAGAGGCCGGGACTAATCGTCGGATTTCGGCGGCAAGTCCAGCAACGAGGTCACGCCATGCAATGCGCATCCTACCCTGACCTGCAGATAGGCGCTCGCATTTCAGCAATCCAGCAATAATGCACCCGTCAGCAAATCATTGTCATCTCAATAGTCATCAGCAAAACCACCAACAAGAACATCAACATCATCATTATCACTTTTACTTCATAAAATTTTCAGTAATAATCATCAGCGTCATCGTATGACAAGGTATACGATATTCTAATATGCATTTTCCTGTCCAGTCTAAACCAGTCTAATCCGTCAAGATGTGCCATCGATGGCATGCGGCACGAAATTGGCACTGCAATCATTCGTATTCGCAAGGCCGGCTCACAGGGCTTTGCAGATGAACATGATAATGATGCTGGCCGGCCGCCCTTGCCCATCACGGACAGGCACTGGCCGCCACGGCTGTGGGGCTGAGATCGCCTGGCTCTGCACGGGCCTGCTGCCGCGGCGCGGATTTGTCGTCGAGAGGGCAAGGGTTCAGGTCGCTGGCGAGGCTGGGGCCGCGCTTGTCGCCGCACACAGACGCTAAAGCCTGCGTTGCCCGGAACTCACCCGCGGAGGACCGCTCGCCGCTGAGATCGGGGGCCATGCTGGTGGAGCTCTTTGTCCGGTGCTCTGCGGCGAGCCGTCGCCTCGCGAGTGCGAGTGCCTTCAGTCGGCTGCCAGTTGGCTGCCGCTGCGCTAGCATTCGAGGAAACTCGGTAGCTAAGGGCTAAAGAAAACAGGGGCCTCAGGGTGTACAACCTCATTTTGTCAAGTTCCAGTCCTGAAGCACTCGTGATGAACACAAAACATCACGTAAACGGTTACCTGTTGCGTGTCAAAGGTGAACATCAAGCATAAGGCCATGCCGCAAGGTCTTGCGTTTAAACGCAACCCGGGTAAAAGATCATTCATTTAGCACGTTACCTACTACCTCTACAGCTACGGAGGAGTGTAAACGACAGGACCTGGTAAACAACATTCCTCTCGACAGAACAAGGCAATCCTAGACATTTTTCTCAATGATCTGCTAATGAAAAGACGGACACAAGATTCACCCCCACCGCCCCCGTGCAGTCCACCAGCACCAGTAACCGAGACGGTTTTTTGTAAGAAAGTGCTGCTGCTTCAGCACCTTCAGCAGCTCGTCGTGCTCCAGGATGGCGTGGGGAAGTTTGCACTAAGGAACGCATGCTTCGAAAATAAAGCTCTTCCGTGCCTTGGATTCAGGGAAATCTTGGTTTGAAGATGGAGGATCTTGCGAGAGGATGTTATGCATGGACCTACCTTGAATCTAGAGCATGGAATCAGGCAAGAAGGATGGCAACACTTTCGACGATTGGGTTGTGCATGTGGCATGTGCGCCAGACATGTTCGCAGTGCTTGGCTCGAACCATGCCTCATGGAAACACTTTTTGTCAGGAGCAGCCTATCTTTCCAAGTTTGCAAAGCCAACTCAACGGGTACACTTGCGGCACATATCCTTTTCTGGCATGGGTCTATGAACGGGATCGCTGCGGGCCCCTGCGCGGATTGACGTTGCAGACCTGTGCTCGTTCGCTTCTGAGATGTTATGCATCTACATTGCTTTGCAGTGGTCTCAAATTTTTGTGTTTCGCCGTGCGATCACTCTGCCCGTCCATCGCCGTGGTGTCTATTGCGCCCTCGTGTCAGAGACCTCTGCCGATCTATAGGTTCCCCGTGTAGCTATCATCATGTGTGAAACAGGCGGCGCGTTTTAGACTGCTAGTCAGCCTTCAGCATCCTTTACTCGGAAGCCGGCCTTAGCACTTCGCCTTCCGTTCCGGTTCCACACCTACATCTAGCGTTTTCGGGTAGCTTTCGGAGCACGGCATTACAAACATGTTCGGTAATCCAGCGGCAATCGAAACCGACCCTGCTGTTGAGTGCTGCCAGTCCGTGGGGACGATGGACTTGGCCACGATCGTGGCTGAAGCTTGGGCCTTTGTTGTTTAGCGTCCTAGTGTCACCAAGTTGACCCAACAGTTGCCTCTCGCAGGTCATCAAAGACACCAAAAGCTTGAATGACGTGGAAGACGCCATTACCCGGGGGGCCAATGTGAATGCTTCCGAGGATTGCTGGAGTGAGTACAGCAGACGCACACTTTCCACGATTGGCTGCGCTTGGGTTGACGAAGTTCATGCCAGCAATTCGCACATGCAAGCTTCGCTGTGCAGGACTCCATGCCTGCATTGAACATGGCAGTGCAGGTGACGTCCCAGCAACAGTGGGACTTCCGCGAAATTGCATGTCAGAATGATTAAAATGCAGCATCTGCACACAGGCACAGCACGAGCATCTCGTAAAGCTGTTGCTCCGCAACCAAGCACGTGTGGACGCTTCTGACCGAAAGGCCTGTTGACTAGTGAATGGATTCGTTGGTCTGTCAAATCGAACCCAATCTCAGTGGTCATGGTTAGTTTTTCGGACGGATGCCTGTCTTGGAAGGGTGTGACCCCGCTGCATCTCGCAACGTTCGACGGGTCATTGGACACCATGAAGACCTTGATCTCAGCTAGGCCGCTTGTTGTGTGTTCCTTGCAAAAGCGGCCAAACTTCGTATGAGAATATGGTGCAGGGCTAGTGTCGAAGCTCAAGATTGTCAGTGCCTAGTTCACACGGCGTGGAACGCCGGTGCTCAGCCACAAATGACCTTTTGTTGAGAACCATGAGGCCATGGCCAAACACCGTTCTTCTTCGTTCCGAATAGGTCCGCCGCGGTGCCCGCTGGTGGTCAACAGACAACAGAGCTCTCTGCTTTAGCATCGTATTGTAGCTTTGCTTCAAGGCGGGCGTGTGTGGTGCTCGCGGAAGCGGGAGCTGATCCGAACGTCTTGAACTACAAAGGCTGCTAGCAGTTTCTGTGGTCCTGTGATCGGCTTCGTGTCGCAGGTCAGACGCCGCTGCACTTGGCAGCTCATGCCGGTTTGAACGATGCAGCTGCTGAGTTGCACTGGTAAGACAGGTCGGGCCGAAGGCATGTGAGACGAGCGTAACTGTTAGGTCCAGTGGCTGCTGGAAAACATGACAGCGAAGGCTTGCGACCTGCAGGATGGGCCGCATGAGGGTGATGCTCGGTCTCCTAATTTCTGCAGCCCTCGCGACATTTTGTCACAGGACAAGCATGGGCGAACGGCCGTGTATTGTGCAGCTCATTCAAAGCTGAAGCCGACCATTCTGCTGTGCCTCGGTTGGTTTCATGCCATCGGAACTAGGACTCCAGAGTGCTGAACCTGGCTCGCACTTCTTCCCGGCCACTTCAAGGGCACATTAGCTTTGGTCACAAACGCGCGACGGTAGCGAAGGTCATTGCCAGGTGACAGCTGGTGTTCGCAGAATCGAAAGCCCCCGAGGCATGATGCCTGTGCTGAGGTTGCAAGACAAGGGAGTAGATACATCTCTTCGACCAAAGAAGCATCGTCGAGCTCTCAGGAGATTTGGGGTCAGCAATCGTGACTTGGTCTTCGTTGTCCTTTGGCGCCTAAGATGGAGACAGGTGGCAAGTCCGTCAGCTCTGCTTCCAAGCTCTTGGACGATATGGCCAAGAAGGCTTTGTTTACCAACACGGTGCTTGTTTGATGAGTCGCTTTCTGGAACTTACAGTCGCATCTGTCATAGTTCTGGTATACACTCGTCTCCGTTTGTTAGAAACGTTCCCAACTGAGATCTGATTCAGTTGGCTTTATCGATGAATGATGGAGATGTGTTCATTGGAATGTTGGCATGAAGGCATGCTTGTCTTGCACCATGTCATATGCACTTTGCCACACGAAGCTCGACATGTCAGTTGAGCTCCCGAGTGGTCCGTCTGGGTGCTTCCTTTAGTGTGTAAGCAAAGCAGCAGCAATCCTTGTCAAAGTAGTAGCACTTATGGCTTATGGTAACCAATACCGCACCAATACACCAAACCTTGTGTATGTCAGGCCTAGCGATGTCGTGAGGGTCATTGCGAGTGAGAGGATCCCTCGAAACCTGATTGCGCAACCCGAAACCTCATTAGGATACCATATTTGTTGTCAAGGTTTCTGGTTTATGCTTTGTTGATTTTTTTGTTTTGCTTGGATTTTGTTTTTCTTGCCGTGACGGAAGCCAAGGAAAGAAAGGAATAAACAACGAAGGGACGAATGAGAGAGCAAGAAACAAAGGGAGAGAGAGGGAGATGTTCCCTACCTGTTGTTTGTTGGATTGGAGCCGGAACCAAGCTTCCCGAGTTGCTTTCGAACACCCTGGGAAAGACCCAGTGGCAGCTTATCGTCTGCGACAACCCTTTTCATGCATTTTCGACATGTTCTCTAGGGGTGTTTGACTCTTTTGTTGCATTTCGCTTTCTCCAAGGACGACGCTGCCTTTGTGTTGAGTGCAAATGATCACCCCCCTCGCCCCGTAACATACGGGGGGGCTGACGCACGCCCACAGCGCTGGCGAAAGAAAGAGAGAGAAACACTGTTTTTTGGCTCAAGTCTCTGAGCTTTGTGGGACCCTCGGCAGTCAACCGGGGAGTCCTGAGCTAACTCATAACAAGCCCCCTCCTCGTTTTTTTTTTCTGTTTGCCGGTTACCTGTGTCTGTTTGTGTGAATATTTGGTTTGTTTTTTCTTTGCTGTTTTTTCTTTTTCTTTCGCTTCCTTGACCCTACACAACTCGCTCCCATGTAGTGGGTTGGTTCCGTTTGCATTACTGTGTCTGTGTGGCTTTGCCGGTTTCTTAGGATCACGGCTTGAACCTCGCTACATGTCGTACTGTGTAGTCTCACCAGTGAGATCGAGAGAACGAGCTCCACACCTCTTCCAACCAGCGTTTCAGGCGGAAGCAGCAAAGATGCCAGAGCCTTGGGTCGCGCAAGGCCATCCTCAGCTTAGGCGCCCTTCCGGAGCGGTTCGGCTTGAGGCATGTGCTGGGAGCTGTCACGCATGGAAGCTGTGCAGCGCAAATCATCGATGAACTCACCTAGATCCGGCCCAAGAGCCCTTCTTCGGCCAAACTTGAAACCCTTCTTGGGCACGGCTGGGCTTTCATGTGGTCGTCAATGCTGCTGCAAAAAGGCGACAAGGATTAGAGTTTGCAGGAAGCATTGAGGCCCATGAATGCTCCTTGGTTTGGGGTTGTCCTTCTTCGTGTGAGCCGATGTTTAGATTTTCCGGTTGAGTCGGTCACAGAGTGCACAACTCGCTTCGCACCCATCCATCTATTTCTGCAAAAGACTCTGGCCTCATTCTTCTTGCCGGCTGAGGCGTCGGATGGAGGCACGCAGGGTTATGAGAGGATTTCGGCTTGCCCACGATCGTGCACTTTCACTCGCAGGCCGCTGCTGTGCAGAGGGAGGAGAAGCGGCTTTATCCCTTGAGCAGGGGGGTGTGGGCAGGTTTCTGAGCTTTTGCGTCTGTTGAGTCGCTGGGGAGGCAAAGCTGCCACCATGTCCGTCCTGCGTCCATCTGCGTTCCTGTGTCGGATTCGCTTCCGGTGGCGTTCCTTGGCGCTGACGCGAAGCTTCGAGCGCCCCGAAGTGCCCTACACGACAGAGATGTTTACTCAGTTTACTGCTTTCTACCACAGGTCTCGATCGTTCAGGCTACGCTGGGACTCAGCACACAGCCGATAGCACCCCTGCCAAACAAAAGCTCTGGGACAAGATGGCTGTTGGACTGCTGTATGCGCGGAGGAAGCTTTCGAGGTGCCGATGGAGTCAGAGGTCGGGACTTGGGACCAGAAGAGCCACGCTTTTTGTTTCTTTTGAGGGGGCGGTGCAAGAGGCTGGCTTCACAACGACTTGCCTGAGATGTGTCCGGTTTCATCGTGCCAGGAAGAGGCGCTCGAGAGGGCCAGGGCTGAAGAAGAGGCAGCTATCTGGACGTTCGTGATGGCAAGTCCCTGCTTGCATCCCATCCCGAACTGCACAGCATGGTGCTCGATGAGACGCAAGTTGCAGGCAGCAGCGGAGATGCGCAGACAACAGGCGGCCAGCATGACCACCGATTTCCTGAAAAAGCTTGATCTGGAACGGCCATCTTTTGGGAGAAGCCGAACCTCTCTTTTCATCACAAACGATGACAAGCATGATGCAGCCATGGGGCGTTGTTCAGCGTTGTGTACAGGAAAAACAACGGCAAGAAGAAGAGAAGCGACAACGAGAGGCGCATTGCAGTGGTGAATTGCGATGCAGCAAGTTCTTTTACTGCAAGCAGCAGGAAGAGGAAGCCCTGCAGAGGGCCCTCGCAGAGGAAGAGGCATTGCTGGAGCAAGAGCGGGCTGACAGGGAAACGCTTGTGTTGCAGGTTTGTTTCTGGAAGTGATAGAGTCGCAGATGGTGCTTAAGTTAGGCGGTTGAAGAAGACTGCAGGAGCGTGCGCGTCTGGAGGAGGAAGCGGAAAGGCGAAGACTGGAGGTGCACAGCTTCCGGCTTGGCCATGAACAGCTGCGACTCGCTTGTTGTGCAGGAGGAGGCGGAGGCGGCGGAGAAGGCCCAGGCAGAGGCGGTGCTTGCTGGGTGACATGTGGTGCATGCAGTCATCACGAGATGCTTGCTGCTATTGCAGATGTGTAGGCAGCAGCGGAGATGCGCAGACAAGAGGCGGGTAATGGGAAATTGCTTGCCCGCATCAAGGCGATGAGGTCCTGTGTTGCATGGGCAGCGGCACGACAAGTTTTTCTTTTCGCTTTCTGCGGCCTTGACGCGAGGAGTATTATGTGCATGGGTTTCTGAGAGTACATGATCAATTGAACAGACACCCCTGCACGGTATAGGAGCAGGCAGCGCTTCAGAAAGCCCAGGCGGAGGAGGAGGCCGGACAGGTCTGAACTTGAGATTATTAGATCCGCATGTCCTCCACAGTCATCCGTATGTTGCAGCCGTGATCAGCCGTGACACGTCATCTTATATCGTTTTTCCGTGTGCAGGAAAGGGAACGGCTAGAAGAAGAGAAGCGGCGACGAGAGGTGCACTGCCATGTCATGTTAGGCGAAAGACGACGGGGTTTGCGGTTGGGGAAAACCCAGCGAGTTCGAATGATGCAAAGGCCGAGGTATTGAAGGCTGCAAAGGCTCCAGAAGGATTGAGGGAAGGTTTGCCCGATGCAGAAGGTTTTCGCATCCGGAAGAATGCAAGCAAAGCGGAGAACCACTCAGACAGAAATGCCGGTGATGCTTAAGTTAGGAGGCCGTCTAGATGAGATGAAGCAGCATGCAGGAAAGCAGACGACTGCAAGAGGAAGAGGAACGGCGACGACGAGAGGTGACACACTGTTGTTCTTTGCAGGTAGGTTCCAGCTTGCAGATGTTGCTGGGCAGCAATGTTGCAGGAAGAGGCGGCCTTGGAGGCGGACTTGGAGGAGGCCCGAGCAGAGGCCGCGCCTGCTGAGTACCACAAGCCGAGCACAGGCACAGGCTTTACGTCATGCTTGCTGTTGCAGAGTTGCAGGCAGCAGCGGAGATGCGCAGACAAGAGGCGGGGAGAAAGTGCGAAGCCCGCGATGCGGAAGAGTTACAGCGTAAGCAGGAGGATCTTGCACGAGGGAGAGGAGTCAAAAAAAAATTTGAAAAGGATCAAAAAAAAATTTACAAAGGATCAAGAAAAA